CAATGAGGGGGGAAGGAGGGGGAGAGGGTTGAGATTTTCGCGTTTTCAAGTGTTTAACATACGTCACACCAATTTGAGCGACTAACCATAAGTATACAGCGGCGTGATTGAACTACTGCGCCGCGAGGGCGTAGTGGCGTAGCAGTTCATTGAACGATGTCAGACTTTACTACTGACACAAATGACAGTTGCGATTAATCGCGGACGCAACTGTGCCAGTTGCTCCAGTCGCAGAGTCTGGCCATTCCTGCAGCACAGTTCCAATTTTTCAAACGGTAAGGAAGCTCCACGATGCGCGTACATTTTTCTTGTGCAGAAATGACACTAAGCATGCATTAAAATAGAAAATATTCCCGTGATTTCGAAAGCTGTCAATGTTCCGAGCCGCAACGCCCCTACTACACCAGCGCCGATCTGGTACAAGAGACTACAGCCATTCGCCCTAATACATTAATTCGAACTGTCATAAGTTCGTCTACTTTTAGTTACATGGGTCAACGTGAAATAATTACTTGACAATATCTTCGTTAATGATCAATGAGTGGGCAAAAAGGTTATCGAGTGAATGTTTCACGCTAATCCATATGTTGACTGGGATCTGTTGCGCATTGAAGCACACCGTCAGTCACTCTTCTGGTCATGTTACCCTCAATGAAAAAAGATGAATAATTGACAAACCAACCTCAGCAAAAGGCTGCCGCGATTTCTTGGCCTGCAAGTTGAGTCGTTCCACATGAGATAGGATTTTGTATGACTTTTTCGAAAGGAGCGGGATGGTGTCTGATGTATCACCAAGCTTCTTGTCATCCTCTGCTGTAAACGAAAAGGAACCAGGTAACGCTTTCAGGGTGAATAAATCGCAGTCTCCAGGATGTGAGCTCGACTTTGACGGTATAGTTGGTGATAAAAACCTTAAATATTGCTATTTCAACACCATGGGCATGAAAATAATCAGTGAACCAATAACTAACCATTCGCTACGACTCCGCATTCGTCGTGCCTGATTTTCGTGAACCCATTCCAAATATGTGAAGGAACGCGACGAATCGCCTCCACACGATGTCAAAGGTCGCAAGAAGTCAGACTCGCATGATTCTAGATCTGCAGCACCTGTCTGATGGAGTACCTGCAAGAACAATGAGTTGCTCATTCCGATATCTCATGAAGCTTCGTAACTACCCTTTTAGGTGCCTATGGACCCATGAAAAAATGGTAACCACGACTACAACCATTCGTAGCCGCCAATGGGCGTAGAAGCCATTTTGTTGTTGTTATATTTTCAAGATTTTCCGGTATTCGAAAACTTTGAGATTCTTCTTTCGGAACATGTTTCCGCGTATCATTTACTCTATTAGAATTTTACAGTTTGCAAAAAAAACACTCTAAAAA